TACCTGCACGCTTAGTAGGGAATGTTGTGGTATAGCCTTGTACTCTCACTGACAGCTCGCATTGAAATTTGTACGACGCGAAACTTCTGCAGTCGCATTTAGGAGCATGATGAAATCCACCGTATAACTCGAAACTACTGCACTAGAATGTCAAAACGACGTAGTTTAACAATCTTGAAAGAAATGAGACAGTTTGGTGAAAGTTCTTACTAGTATAGGCCTTCAAAGGGTCACACTATAGAACAGCTGGTTAAGGCATTATACTACAAGGCGGAAGGTCGCGGGTTCGATTCCCGATGGGGTCAGTGGATTTTTCAATTTACCTAATACTTCCAGCTGCACTATGGCCTTGGGTCGGCTCAACCTCTAACGGTGCCACGTCCCACTGCTTTCTTCAACGATATGAAGAGTTTAGCCCCCTGGGATGCAATGGCGTGTTGAACGGAGACAGTCCAGTGCCGCCATCTGCAGGGTCGAAGCGTGAACCAACAAGAAGAGAGCGGAAGCGGAAACTGAGCTTGCAGCCTGTTTCTGCTGTTTGTTGGAGGACTTAACCTTCAACTCTAAAGGTGTCGAATCGTCGAGCTCTCTCCGGACCACACGGCCTTTCGACTCTGAAAGCGTTCTCTTCGTTTACTGGCCTCCCCATAATATTAACTTAAGAGATAGGTCCTCTGTAACCTTTCTTAACCTGATTTTCTTTCTGCAGCGAGGAATTTTTTCCCCATGCTCAATATCTGAGCTGGAGCACCTTCCCTTTTCGTCTGTCAACTGCTTATTCAGCATATTCATAGCTACCCCCCACATCCGGAGGGTGAAATGTTGCTATAAATAATTTACTCAAGTAGTTACTATAGGATTCTGACGATTGTGTATAACACACTGATATGTTGGGTTTTTGGACTTTATCCATCGTCCTGGTTTTTAAGATAACAAATAAAAACACGATGTTTCGGAAACTGGATCTGTTTCCGTCCTCAGGTGAAGGAAAACACCTATCACTGGTCCAGTGATTGAGGCTAGCTCTTTCTAACGGACCCAACTGAATAGGTGTTTTCCTTCACCTGAGGACGGAAACAGATCCAGTTTCCGAAACGTCGTGTTTTTATTTGTTATCTTAAAAACCAGGACGATGAATAAAGTCCAAAAACCCAACATATCAATAATTTACTCAGTTCATGCAATCATCAAGTTCATATTATTTAAACAGTCTGATGTTGAAATCTTGCGGTACACCGGCTGAGACCCATTGGTTTCAGATACAATGGCGGGCCCCAGTCAACACGAGAATAATGAAGCGAGATATGTTCTCACAGGAATGGATGCTAAGATGCCGCTATGTATGTTCTGGTAGAGCTTTAACAACGTTACAGAGAAACTTCTGTCTCCATCTGCCCTTACAGGGGCCAATGACTCCCACTGGGCCCCTTTAGAGTCCCATTTACTTCTCTTATTACCCAGTTCTGTAACCTCATTTTCTCAGGCGCCTTACTACTCCTCTACCCGCGAGGTAGAGCCAGCAAGTTCCATCCATATGCTGGTAAATTTCTGTCGGGCTGCAAGACAGCAAAGTTCGCGGTTATATACAGTGTTCCAGGAGGGGTCAAAATTCTGGGAGGTTATAGCATCGGCCATTCTAAGCCAAAATAATATGTACTTGTGTTCTATTCCGACAGGTTTCCGAGATAGAGATATTTCACTGTACAGTTCCGAAATTATTGATAAGAAAGAGATATTACCTACCGTTTCTAATACCGGCATTTATTGTTAAAGTGACGATGTCGGTACAGTTTATCTAGTGTAACATATTTTCGAAAATCCCACCGTCAACATCAACGCACTTTGCAACTCTTGCGAGGACATGGCGTGTGCTGTACAGTGAAATAGCTCTGTCTCGGAATAGGACAGATGTACATATATAGATTTTGCTTAGAATGACCAACACTATGACGTCCTAGAATATTGACCTTTCATCCTGGGACATCCTGTCTGCCTCCGTGTCTTAGAAAGTTGAGCAAGTCCTGGATCTGCCAAGTGACTGCGTCTACTCCGTTGAGTTTTAGGTGCATAGAGCGGAGAATATGAAGAGTGTAATATTCTAGAACATGATACATTGTAGTCGGGTAGAGGTACACAGTTGTTTCTAAGTCACTCTTTGCTTCCATCTTCAGGATAGAAATGTAAGCATATACGCAAAGGTAGTAACCAATAAGAAGCAAGGATCAAAGAGAGCACCGTTTTCTGGTTTCTTATTACTGATTACTTGCTTGACTTACACTACAACCTAGAGGATGGAAGCAGTATTTTGAACCGAAATATCAGTGAACTTCTACAGGACTACGTGACGACACACACAAGAAATTGATTTATATTGTTGGTTGCAGCTGGAGATTCACTCTTTGTTGCACTGCGTTTTGAAACCTCACGAAGCTGATGTATTCGGTATCACCCAGCCTTGTCGCTCGGTTTTATTTCCTATTGTCTGTACCTTGGACCCATCAGTTTTTAAAAATCTCGCCTTTCAGCCAGTCTGCTAATGGTCGGCCCCTTCTCATTCATTTAATGCACAGTGGCGCCGAAGCGACGTCGGGACGGCTACAGCGCCGCCTCTAGCAGGAGCAAGTCTCTGCGGCTTTGGACGGATGGGTGTAGATCAAAGAGGCGTTTGGAGGAGAGGAGAGTAATTTTCTCGCAAGGTTTGTTTTATGTGGTGAAATGCTGAGGCCTTTCGTTAGGGACTTTGAATGTTTATGTCTTGTCTAGTGTTCGTATTACAATTTTGTGTGATATTTGATAAACGTGTACATGATAATGGAAAGATTCATTCCGCAGAGCTCTTTTTGCAGGAGCTAATAATTTAATATCTAGTTATAAAATTCCTTGACGTTTATAGAACGCGAATATTCATTATCCTGTTGATAAGAGACAGCCATTATACCAATTCTGGGTCACAAAGCTACAGTGTACATCGTCAGAGCTCACCAGCCTAAGGTATATTTAAAATATTATTATTCCATCTAAAACTATTTTTCAGAATTATTCTATTGTCTTAAAATTTTCCAGTGATAACGAATAATTATTTTTTAACACTCACTCATAGTTTCCGCCATTACAGCAAAACCCATTCCATTTGGATTTCAATAAACTTGGAATAGCAAGATTGGTGTAACGATTCCAATGGGTTCATCCCATTATTTTTCCTAGGTTTCCAGATACATGGATCCTAAATTTGATTACCATTTTAATAATTCAAAACTTACGATTTCGAGCAGGAGGATCAATAAATGGGGGTTTACACAAACACAACATAACGTGTATTCAGATAACCGTGGTTGTTTGTCGGGCTTGTTAATGCTAGTGGGGTGGGACTAAGTCCCTTGCACTGCGGCCACTTCTGGCCTATTGTACCAGCCCCAGATGATAGGTGAGAGTGATTGTGGAGCAATTAGTGGAATGAAGATTGGCAGGGGAAACCGAAGTACTCGGAGAAAACCTGCCCCAGCGCCAATTTGTCCACCACAAATCCCATTTGACCAGACCCGGAATCGAACCCGGGCCGACGCGATAGAAAGCCAAAGACTGACCGCTTGAGCTTTGGGGCGGCCTTGTTTGTCGGGCACACAGGTTCATAGATGTACGCTTCTGGTTAGGGTACTCGCCCGTTCTCTCATCTCTGTTCAGTTACATCAAAAGTGGTGGACACCCAGCATTCCGAGGGAGTAAGTAAAGTAAAAAGTAAAAAGTAAAACTAATCCTGTAACAGGTCGTGAAGGCCCATAGGGTTGTGAGACGTTGAGGGCCCCACATTACCTAGAAAATCGGCTCAAAAATGGCGGTAAATTTGTCAGCCTTACGCGCCGGCCGCGCTTTACTCCACAGAAAGATTATTTAATTAATTCCTGGTACCCATTTCTGTTAGAGGCTGAGTCGACCCCAGGGCCACAGTTCGGATGGAAGGATTAGGTCAACTGAAAAAAATCCAGTAACCTCATCGTGACTTGAACCCGCGACCTTCCGGCTTGTAGCATAGTGCCTCAACCAACTACGCTACCGCGTGCCCCCATTCCGAGGGAGAGTAGCCACAAAATTAAGTTTAAATATTTTAAGAATATTTTAGTGTATCAGTTGAAGTGCATTCATTTTAACAAGTCTGAGTCTAGGTCTCTCACCCTCGAAGAACAGAATCGATTGTGAATGTTCGACTACTGGATGCTACGGAATTACAATGTGATTCTAAATTATTGTCGAGTTTCCCGCGGCCTGTAACTTTCAAATCGAAAAAAAGAAATAATTGATACCGCTTAGGGAATATGAAAGTGTAATTCAGAACGTTTCATCCATCAACGCTGTACTCGCCGCATTGATGCCTGGGAGAAAGTATGACGTCATACCTGAAAATTGGGACTGCTCAAGAGAAAGTAATGTGAGTACTTTGATTTTTCGAAAGAAAATTAATTATCAAAGTGCAACGTCATTACAGAACTCAATATGGAAAAGCTCTACCTTCAGATAATCCAATCCGACATTGGTAAGCAATTTCAAGGGACTGGTAGTGTTCTGCACCGAAAATGTGAAGGAAGATTTTGATCGAATCCAGGAAGAGTTTTCTCGAAACCCACAAAAATCAATCAGACAAGCTTCTTTGCAGTTACGTATACCACAAAGAACTGTCTGGATGTTTGCTCATAAAAATATATAAGTAATAAAGCTCTTAGAGTTACATTTTCATGTTCCACTAAGTGTTATGAATTTCTGGTTTGAAAATTATAGGACACGGAAAACCTAGCAATAGTTTAGAATTTGTACCCAATAGGAAGGACGTAATAGTAGACTGAAGAAGAATGCACAATGAGAAGCTACAAATGCATACAAAATTTTCTAGAAACCTGAAAGGAAAGAGAGCACTTGGGAGAACTAGGCTTAGACGGGCATGCACTATTTAAACGTACCTTAATGGAATAGGGTACGAAATTGTCAGTTGGACTCACCTATCTGAAGAGAATTTCCGGCAACGGGCTCTTATAAAATCTGATTACATAAGAGGCGGCAACTTTCTTGAGTAGCTGCGTGTTTGTTGACTCCAAGGAGCTTGTTTAAATATTAATGTATAGCTCTCGGTATACACCGAAGGAAAGTTGGCGCCGTAAGCTCTTCCCTGAACTTTTGATCCGATCTTCCTCGTGACGCCTCAAGGGTTAGGCGACCTGCAGCACAAGGAATACATTTCTAGGCTTCACTTTAGCAGTCATACAGCTCGAGTTCACGAAGCAATTTCAGTTCAGGGTGCCACTCACATCAGTCTATGTCCTGTAGGCTTGGTGTGCGAAAAAGGAAAGCTCAGAAGAAAAGATTTCCTACGTTACAGCATGTTTATTATTTCTTAAGTTTTGTTCAACGACGCCGTCAATAGCCTAGACCACATAGCAAGGAATAGAAGTAGTAGTGAATGTGAAAGAGTGCTGTCTTCTGATATGTGATACAGCGTAGTCCGGCACAAATTTACCGACGTTTCGGAGGCACGCAATTTTCCAATATTCAGGGTAGAATTGTAAGCAAGTCAAGTTGTTTCTACTTTCCTTCTTGCTGGCTTATTGGATTCGCTTACATTTCACCCTGATGATGGAGGCATTAGGTTAATCAGATTCATCGGTGAACTTTACCGGACTATGTGGTGACATGTCCCAGAAGATAGCTTTTCATTACAACTTCTGGCCGTCAAAAACTAAGGGCAAATGAATGGTGAACTATTCGAGAAATATATGGTAGGAAATAGTGGTCTATTTGAAGATACAATAGTAGCAGTCACCTAGAGAAATAAGGAGAGCTACGAAGTATCTGGTTTTCGACTGTTTCAGCAGAGATCGTTACCGAATAGTTCCTGAATACAAGTAAGAAGCGTTGCAGTCTGTGCCAGATTTCTCTGTAATGGATACTTATCTCCGGTGCAGCATCTTATCTTCGCAAGAGCATATTATCTCCGTAACAACATATTATTTCCATTAGAGTATGTTATCTCGGCAAGAGTGTTATTTCAGTTATAGCACGTTTTCTCCGTTGCACCATGTAACAAACCTCGCAGACCATGAACAGACTAGAATTTTATGTCATCAAATCTATAAAGAAGAATGTGCATAATTGTAGAGGACATTCCTTGGGAGATTTTAGACATTTATTAACTCCAAATTACTAGTTTAAAGATCACAAATAAATTTTGGAAACCCCAAAAGAAATTTTACTTATTGCCCAAGAAATATTTATCATAGCGCATTCATGTTCTTTGTGTTCTACGGAGCTTAGAAAACAAAGCCTCACTTAATGTAAAGACTTTTTTCAAAGTTGCAAAAAGGTGCAAATTTACATTTTGAGTTAGGAATGCAGACTCTTATCTTCCGCAGTTAAAACTCGTATTTTGTCAAATATGAATCTCTCTCAACAGAGCCAGTGGCTTAGGAGAATTGAATGCATGTTTTAAACAGAATAATAGCATTGTTATGGAAGAAAAGTGGCAGTTAAACAGTGCGAGTTGCAACACTGAATTCAGAACATTAACTTGAACAACATTAACACTTCCACTGCTTACAAATATAAAGGAATGGCTCATTTCTATAAAATACTCTTTCATTATACTGACATCATTAAGCTGAGCAATATAATTCATCATTGTTCTACACTTACAAGAGGGGCACGCGGTAGCGTAGTTGGTTGGGGCACTATGCTACAAGCCGAAAGGTCGCGAGTTTGTTTTCCGATAAGGTCACTGCATATTTCAATTGACCTACTCTTTCCAGCCGCACTATGGCCCTGAGGTCGACTCAGCCTCTAAGAGAAATGAGTACCAGGAATCTTCCTGGGGGATAAAGTGCGGCTGACGCGTAAGGCTGACAAACTTACCGCCATCTGTGAGCCGATTGTCTAGAAAAAAAGTGGGAGCCTTGACGTCTCACAGCCTTATGGAATTTCAAGGCCTGTTACAGAGAGAGCTCTACGTTTACCTTTCTGCACTTACCAATAATGCTTGCTCATTACTCGGAAGCAACTTTATTGGATTACAAAATAAATTATACACGTAGATATGCATGCGTGCTGTTTCCCTGCTCTAGCGGTGCCTTTGCAGCGGCAATCCCAGCAAATCCATCCACTTCTAATTTAATGAACACAGAATCTCTTCCTGTCCCCCTCGGCCACCCTCAGCGCCACGAATTACTTGGAACTAGTTGCTTCTCGTTACAGCTGCTAACTTGGAGATGGCTTTATTATGGTTTAATTTGTGTGTGGCGTGCCTTCATGCATCACTTTCTGTGATGTCCCAGACACAAAGAGCACGCGGCCGTACACAGTAACCGGGGACCGAGGTTTCATTATTGTTAAAAAGGGATTTGTGAATCTCACAGCGGTTACTATGAACAGTGCTGCCTTCTATGATGTGTAGAAGCGTACCGACGTTTCGTAGAAACTTACTGCTCTCATCTTCAGGGTTGAAGATTCAGCCGGGCAGGCAGAGCGTGCTTGGCTTGGCTCACTCTCCGACCCCGAAGATGGAGACAGTACTTTCATCCGAGATGTCGGTAAACTGCTCCCAAAGTACACGGCGTCATAGCAGTCTGCTATACATACACAAGCAGTCTGCTTGTACCGGTTCTCACGGTCTCTTAGCTTGCGGATTTTATTATTTTTCTTTCTACCCTGAAGATGGAGGCGATACGTTCCTCCGAAACGTCGGTTAACACCACATCTACACGGTGCCACATCCCAGAAGACTGCTTTCTTCAATATTAAAATGGATCTTAGAGATATAGGATGGGATGGTATTGATTGGATTTATTTGGCTCAGGATAAGCACTAGTAGAGGGCTCTTGTGAACACGGTAATGAACCTTCGGGTTCCATAAAATTCTGGGAAATTCTTGAGTAGCTGCAGAATTGGTGACTCCTCCAGAAGGGCTCAGCTCCATGAGTAAGTAAGTAAATATGTGGTTTGGTGCCACGAGAAAGGGGTCGAAGACGAAAACGAAGTGGAGGAAGAAGCTGGAGACCCACAGATGAATAAAAAGCACATTACTAAGTCCATTATGGAAGACTGAGATTGAGAAGATGGAGACTGGGGAAAAGAAATAATGTAGAAACCGAAGATGATGAACCCAAGAAGGGATAAAGCCAAGAAGAAGAAGGTCAAACAATCTGTGAAATACGAATAGAATAACCCCCCTAAACTGCTTTTCGCTTGTTCCCTCTCTGTTGTTGGGGGGGGGGGGGTNCTACGAATATCGGACGTTCAGAGTACAGCAGGTATCTGAAGGGGCCCAGCGAAATATTTGGCCGGATTTTAAGCACTCATTAGCGAGATAATATGGACGCATCAGAGGTCCCCTGAAGCACTAGCCATGGAAGTACGCTCTTTTTTGGGGGGTTGGGGGGGGGATTTAATTACGCTTTCAGTACTGAGACTTTATAGCGTCGGTTGGTAGGAAGATAGATGAATAGAACGGGATTTCGAAGCAGTCGTGACCCAAACTACATACTATGTTCGAATTTGCCTAGAGGGACTGAGAGAAATAGTACACACAAGGAGCGTTAGAGTTTTATTGCTGTATTAGCATATTTTTACCGCATTTAGTCAGAACAAATGCATCGTTGTCCCTGTGCTTATATTAAGCACTATGCCATGAAGGCGTATGGGGAAGTGGATGTATAGATCCACATTTTCTTGACATCGGCACTAGCTGGAGGTGATTGGTCAGTTTCACACACCTGCCGTCATGGCTCCAGAGGAAACCCCGGGACCCACTGGATAGGAGGTTGGGTGGACCACAGAGCCGGACTGGAAGACATGGAGAAGAGAACATTCTTGACCCTACCAGGACTCGAACTCCGACTCCTCGGTCGTTCAGTCAGTAAAAGTTTCGAAAAAAGGCAGTAAAGGACTGCTGTGCGAATATTAATGAAAATTTTGTGAGATCGTAGAGAACATCACTAAGTTTGTAATATTGGTTATCTGTGAATAATTCTGAGTTTCGGACAGAGGTGGCTATGAAGAGTTATTTCTACTGGAATGTAACGTCGTGTAGCTATGCACGCTGGTGTCTTGCGCGACTTACTTTTCGGCTCTGGCGTTGGAGGAGATATATCTCTCCGAAACGTCGACATGGTGAACCCAGATTTATTATATTTAGAAATCTAGCCCACAGCATCGATCCTGTTTTATGTGTTCGTTTGTTATGGTCCTTTCATGTGTATTTAACTCAATATCTAATAAATTTCAATTAAGTGTCTGTAATTATGATTTTGTCTTGTGCTTTTATTGTCCAATATTCGCTCCTATTTAAAAAGTGTCCGTAAAGCTAGAACACTGTAACCTCAATACATATTGTGACATGTTTAGCCATGGATGACGCCCCTCCCCCCGCCAGCCGTGATGCGCCGAGCGAAGCCGAAGTGAGCCGAAGTTAGCCGACTCCTAGCATCCTGGTCGCTATGCAAAGCGAGTCAACAGCGATGACGTCACCAAGGGTACCGCGGNTTCTTGAGAAGCCGCCACTTGTAACACTACTCAAGAACTCCCAATATTTTATGGAAACAGAAGGTTCATAACCGTGTTCACAAGAGCTCTCCACTGATTCCCATCCTAAGCCAGATCAATCCAATCCATGCCGTCCAATTCTCTCTTTCTAATATTATCCATCAACTTACGTCTTGGCCTCCTTAGTAGTCTCTCCCATTCTCGCTTTCCCATCAATATCAACATAAACTCCCTTCGCCCCATTTGTGCTACATGCCCTGCCCATCACATCCTCCTTTACTTGATCATTCTAATTATACTTGGAAAAGAGTATAAGTTATGAAGCTCCTCATTATGCAGTTTTCTCCAGCCGTCTGTCACTTCATCTCTCTTCAATCCAAATATTATCCTCAGCACCCTGTTCTCAAACACCTCAGTCTATGTTCCTCCGTTATTGTCAGAAACCAAGTTTCACACCCATACAGAAACGGAGGCAAAATTATAGCTTAGTATATTCTAATTTTTATATATTTGGACAGCAGATGGGAAGACAAAAGGTTCTGGACTGAATGGTAGCAAGTATTACCCGAGTTCAATCTCCTCTTAATTTCCTCCTCAATGAGGTTTTGATTTTTTATTGTCGTTCCCAAATATCTGAACTGTGCCACATTTTCAAAACATCAGTTAGCTGTCGTTATGTCATGATTTT